TATATGTACATATATGTCATATATCGTACATGTATGTATGTGTATGTGTTTGTGTTTGTGTGTGTGTGTATTTTATTACTATACGTGTTTATGTATTATGTATACATGTATATATATATATATACATATATATATATCGTATATAGTTATGTAAATATTTTGTTTAATGTATATAAGTATGTATGTATGTGTATGTTAAGTATAAACTATAAGCCTATAAGAATATAGTTGTAGTTGTATCTTTTATGCATTTTTCATATGTAGCTTATTCGTTTTTTGTTTTGTTTTTTTGTTTTGTTTTTGTTTTTGGATTACTCTCTCAATATGCATTTTCATCATATATTATTATGAATTCGTTTCGGTGTACAAAGTTGTTGGTTTTGTTTTTAGTGTTGTTTTCTTTTCATTTGTTTTTTGTTTTTTTTTTTTTGCTGGAAAAACCAAAATAATAGAAAAATGTTGTAGCAAGTAAAAAGTCTCATTCATAGAAAAATGCTTTTCTTTTGTAGCTGGTTAGTTTTTTTTTTTCTTTCTTTTGGTTAGCAAATAAGATGTATTTATTGTTTAGCTTTGTAGTTGGAACTCGTGTAAGCAGCATGGTATTCGAAATATATATAAAAATCGCCTGCTCAAGACTCAAAAACGCTTTCAAGAACAAATTCGAATGACAGGCAATTATTATTAGAGGTTGTTGTTTTTTTTGTTGTTGTTGGATAGCAGTTTTCAACTCGTGTTTAATGGTGTATTGAAAGGTGTTGTTTGTTGTAGTTGTTGTTGCTGTTTCTTCATCTTTGGACGGTTTCATCAATTCATTAAATGTATATAATTTTTTTGTTGTTTTTTTTTATATCTTTTTTGGTATTTGATTCTTGGTGGTTGTCAATTCAATAATTCTGAATAAACTGGTCCATTTTTGTTTTGTTTTTGTTGTTGTTGTTGTGGTTGTTGTTGTGTAATTGGTGTGAATGCGAATTACAAGAACTAAGTAAAACCGTTTCGAGCATATGCATCTCTCTCACAACAGAACAAGGGAGCGAGGGGAGGTAGTACTTTTGGGCAAGTGGCAAGTTCGGGGAATAAATCGAGTTCGAGTGTTATTTATAAACAGCACCTACCTTGTGCCCCATGCGCATTTTTTTTAGAGTTGAAAACTACGCGGCAATAAAAATCAGGCTGGGAAAAATATTTGCGAAAAAAAGAATATTCCAAAAAACTGTGCAAAATAAGGAGCGTTTGCGCTTGCGTTTGCGTTTAACAAATTCAATTTGCTGGCAACCTTAATTTAACATAACTAATTTTTTTTGTAACGAAATTTGTCTAGTTTTTTTCATATTTGGTTTCCAATGCATTTAAATAAAGCGTAATTGCGACTAAAAGTTTGTTTGTTTGTTTTTGTTTTTGTTTTTGACTAATAATTCTCGAATTTTGTAACACAGGCAAATCAAATGAAAATAATTTGGCTAGTTTTTATCATAGTTGATTTTTGTTGTTGTTGTTCTCAAATGATGCACACTAATCTTAATTTACACACATCGCTTAGGTCTAGCATTGCATATTAAATATTACATACAATTCTTTTGCTGGGCGTTTTACTCGCTTGATTCCTTTCTTTGATCAGGGTTTTTTTTTGTTTGCTTTGTTTTTAACAAATGGATTATGTTTTGTTAGCAGTTGTTCAGTGAAAGTATTCTGGGTTCTTTCTTTCATTTAATTTTTTTTTTTTTGTTTTCGCTATAAACATTTTAATGCCTAAATTGTAAAATCGTTTAACTTAAGCGGCCTTATAAATTTCGATATGTTAAAAATTCAGGATTTAAACGCTTTAACAATTTGGCATACATTTTGGTATAGTTTTTATTTTAGTATTTGATGTTTATTTATTTTGTGTGTGTTAGTATTTGATAAGTAAAAAACTAAAAGGCGGAGAAGAAGGGGGCTGTGCGTTGCTAGGATGTGGCTTCTTGCGAGTTTGTCTATAGAGCTTTTCTTTAAGCAAATTATTTGTCATGTTTCAATTCCTGTAAAAACATATACATATAAAAACTATTTTTCCATGTTTTGATGATGATGAAAACAATAAAAAAAAGACGAAACAATTCCTAAATAATTTTACATATACATATATATTTATATCAAAAAATCGAGCGCGCATATTACAAACTTTGGGCACACAATAAACGCGTTAAAAAATAACAACAAAATTTAAATATTAAATAAAACAAATTATTTATATATCTATATATACATATATGTTTATACATATATATATATATATATTGATATATAGAAATATTTTTGTTTTTTGTTTAACTCATAAGAAATTAAAAGTAAAATCATACAACGTTGTAAAGTGTTGTATTTAATGGATTAACATTTAAAATTCCATATTATTATTATTGTTTTACTGTTTTTTCATTAATATGTGTAAATTATATAGCTACCAAGTTGTATTTTTGTGTGTATTATTTTATATGTTTTCTTTAATTTATTATATACTTGTTTTGTTTTGTTTTTTTGTTTTTAATTATTTGTTTATGCACTAATTAGGAGCTCAAGATCGTTGTTGCTTTAAGTTCTTAAGAAAATAAATTGTATGATTTAATTAACGAGATTTTTCTTCTTACTTTCTCTTCGCATCATTAATTATTTAAATTAAGTACAATTATACTTAATTAGATAAAAAATATTTTACAATTTATACGATTTACAACAATTTACATAAGAACTAAGACATTTAAAAAAAGGTGTATAAGATGACATAACCGAATAAAATGAGCAAAAAATTGCAATAAATAAAATAGAATGAAGTGTTTTTTTTTGTTTTTGTTTCGTTTGTTGTTAATTAAAGCAATAATTGCACATAGTAATAAAAAATGATTTTTGTGAGAAATATATATGTATGTGTGTGTGTGTATGTGAGTGTGTGTGTGTGTGTGCTTATGCATGAAAAATTCGTTTAACGCTTCTCTATATAGCATATAGTATTCGTTGATTTGCAGTTAAGAACAAAAGTGTCAAAAAGAGCATCGCCCTGCTTTTAATGTACAGACTGTCTAAGAAAAACAAAAAGAAAAATTGTTATTTTTATTTTTAATAACTAGCTGCAGTTGCTTACAAATTATATGAAATTAATTTTCATGTTATTATTTTGTATTTCTTTATTGTTGTTGTTGTTGTTGTTTTTGTTGTTTTTGTTATAGTTAATCTAACATACGCCTTTGATATGGTTGTTACTGTTGCTTTATTGCTGATATTTTTAGTTAAATTATTTATAATTCATTTTATATGCGTCACGCCAAATTTTACTTGGAGTTTTGAAATGTTTGGCTCTCTTGTCTTCTCTAAGCTTAAAACGCCTCAAAAATATTCTTTTTTTTTGTTGTTTTTTTTTTTATTTTGTTTTGTTTTTATTTTTTTAGGTTTTTGTTTTTAGTTTTTAGTTTTTATGTATGTATGTACTCGTCGTATGTGTATTTATGCATGTATGCTTTTTTGTTTTGCCTGTCTCAATGTCGCTCTTAATTTAATATGCTTTAATTGTTTTAATTATTATTAGATTTGATATTTGTTTTGTTTTGTTTTTAGTTTTGTTGTCGCTTTTTACATTTAGTGTAAAATTATAGTTAATATTAATTTAAATACATATACAGCTCATACATATTAGATTTATGCCTTTTGTAAACACAAAAATTATGTTAATGTTCTTTTGTCTTTTTGTCGTTTTTATTTGTTAATATTTAAATTTAAGAAAAAACTATAAAGTTTACAAGAAGAAAAAAAACATTGGCTTGTGCAAGTTTCTCTTTTCTCGTTCTTTTTGTTTAGTTTAAAAAATTTGCTGAAATTTGCGTTAAACTAAAATTAATAAATTTGATTTAAAATTGCTAAATTTTTGGTTTAATTTTACACGTTTTGCGCTCTCGCATTTTTTTTTTCGTTTGTTTTAGATTTGATTCAATAAATATTTTGTTTTTAGCATCAGATTTTTTGTCTCACACGTGAATACTTGTCGAAATATTGTCCAAAGAAATTTGTTGTTGCATTTGTTTGTTTTTCTCTTTTTGTTTTTTGTTTTTGTTTTTTTTTGTTTTATCCCATATAGTATATAAGTCTAAATAAATGAAATATAATTAACTAAAATATTTATATATGTAGTTGAAAGTCAGTTGGTTTGTTGTTGGTTTTCTTTTTTCTTTTCTGAATTTGCGATTGTGTGTTTTATTTATGTTTTCTTTTCTTTTTTATATTTATTATATATATATATATTTATATATTAATTGCATATTACATTGTTTACAATTTGTTGTTGTTTTTTCTGCAATTTCATCAAGTGCAACACACAACACACGAGAAACTTTACAAAATTAAAACAAGAAAACATATTAACAATTTTTGTTTTGGTGTTGATGTTGTTGTTGTTGTTGTTTTTGTTTTCGAATGCAACTAAACAATTTTTTAACCTAATTTTTTGCTATTTTTCAATAATTATCATGCACTTAGTTTGATGTGTCGCAAAACGCATGTAAGTTTATTTTGGGGGGTTGTGTGTGGCTTTTAAACGCCGCCATTTTGTACATGAATGTGGGGTGTGTGTGTCTGTGTGTGTGTGTGTGTTTGTCTGTGTGTTGATTATGTTTAAGTGTGATTCTCATTTTTTGTTTTTGTTTTTGTTTTTCTTTTTCAAGTAAATGGCGCGTAAAAAAGTTACATGCGTTTGCAAATTGTTTTAAAAGTATTCATTTGTTAGCTGTGTTTGTGTGTGTTTGTTTAAGTCAAGTCAATTTAATCATATATATATATAGATATATAGATATATATATATATATGTTGTAATCATCAGTTTTGCTGCTTTCAGTTATTTGTTGTCTGTCCCTTCCAATATATATAACATATATTTTATATTGTGTTTGTTGTGGTTTGTTGCTGATGTGTTTACGTCTGCCTCTCGTCCTATGCTCCTCCTCCTCCTCTTCTTCTTATATTCATTGTTGTTTTTGTTGTTGTTGTTGTTGTGTTGCTTAGCTTTGTTGTTCTTGTTGTTGTTGTTGGCTGCGCTTACACAATGGTAATCAAATCTCAATTGTAAATCTCCGCCTTGACATCGCCATCGTTCTCCTTCTCGATCATGCCCTCATTTGCGGCATTATTCCACGCTCCATTCATGCTCTTCGATGATGAGAAGCACAGCTTCATGATGAATGGGAATTTGGTGCCTAGATTCGTTGCAAATAGTGGATAGTGGATAGTGGTTTGGTTGTTTTGGTGGTTTTTTTGTGGTTTGGAGGTGGGTTGTGGTTGTGGTTGGTTGGTTGGTTTTGGTGTGGGGAATAGAAAGAAATATGCATAGTTATAGAATAAATGGGGTTCCTTCGTTGGTAAATAAGATTTGTATTTTAAATAGTATTGTTGTAGTAATGTGTATAAGTGTTGTATATCTGAATCAAGTTATTTGCTTTTCGCAGAGTTTTCGTGATGGGATTTTCTTGCGGATGGGATACATGATGGGAGAACGGACGGGGTATGCTATGGAATGGCGGATGGATGGTGGTGGGCGGGGGTTTTCTTGTTCAAAGGGAAATAGGCAGTTCATTTCCACGCTGTTGCGCAATCAGAAAAGTTGGCTCATGCTTATTGCTAAGCAGCCATTATAGACCTAATTTTATATTGACGCCGCATCTAATTAAAATCATTAATACCCTCGACATGAAAACTGCAGCCCAAAAGTATGCTCGACTATTTAATGAAGGGGAAAATGGAGCAAACTCGCTGACAACTGTGGATATTACCTATCAGAATGCTTGCCAAACGTGTACTGCCTGCCAAGTCGAATGCCATTTGTACAGGGTATCTCGTAAAGGACTTGAAACCTTTATTAGATCGTCAAGGTGCTCGGTAAGGCGACTAAGGCAATTTTATGTGCCAATTAAATGCGGGAGCGCCATCATAAAAATACTTTGGGGTCCAATATGCAATCAAAATCATTCGAATGTAAAAATTGCCAACCATCAGCAACGAGCACACACACACGCACACACACACACAGAGAGTGTGAAAGAGAGAGAGAGAGAGAGAGTGTGTGTGCGCATGAATATTTGCTGGATGCATCATATCACAGCCTGAAAGAATGCAACGGCATCTGTTTGCATTTAGCATTTGCTGTTTGCACTCGTCTGCAGGTTAAGTGTGTGTGTGTGCGTGTGTGAGCGAGTGTGTGTGTGTGGGTGTATATGTTGCTGCCATGTTCGAGTTTATTTGCATTCCTTACATTTTTAATTACTATTTACCATGCACTCGAGCGAGCACTCGATGCAGCAACAGGAACCGAAATGCATCAACAACAAATATGCAAACAACACCCACCAAAATATTGACAAAATATATACACACACATATGTATATATACACACACATACGTACACATGCCTGCACACACACATAGGTGAGGGTAAAAGCCTTCTGACTCGTACTCTCAAGTCTTTGGCTGGTGCTCAGCTATTTGCATAAAAGATTTTTACGCAAGGTGTAAACAATGATAGCACAGAATGAATACCCCCGTGTGCGGCACATGCAGCATGCGGCATCATTGCACCTGTCTGTTGTGTGTGTGTGTGTGTGGACAGCTATGCCAGTGTCAGCAGCCCAAAATGAATGCAAAATTATTCGGTACAGCCAGGAATTGGCAGCAGCAACACAGCCACACAGCAACGCAGCAACACAGCACGCTGCAGGCAATTAGGTTAATTGAATGCATCGATGGATGCAATCTCAGGCAACTGCCAGAAACTGCCAGTTGATAACATTTATTGAATGCTGTTGATTGCTATTTTTGGAAAAATGGAATAAAAGTGGCAAATGTTTCCGATTAAAGATAACACATGGAAAAAATGTTACCGATTAAAGATAAAAGATTAACATGAAAATGGCGAAAATTAACTGATTTGAATTCTGGCTTCAACTATTCCTAGTATAAAAACGGTTTATTCATGAGACTGATCCCATATAAATTGATACATGTTCTTCCAATCTATTAAGAAGATTATCAATATTGAATATATAGATATTAATATATACTTTTCATAATACTTTTCCCCAATATCTGTATTGAGTATTTTGTTTCTAACAACGCGACCAACACTGTAAGCTCACAGCTAAAAATAAAATCACTTCAACAAGGACTTTGGCAATGACAGCGATTCAATTGGGAATCGTGCATAAAAATGTGGCACAATCAATGGAAAATACTTTTAAAATGTGTTTAATATAAATGTCAACAACTAAGTCAATCAATTGGAAATCAAATGTTGATTATTTTATGAACACGTTTTGTGGCAAGCAAAATAGCAGTCTCAGCAATTTGTGGGGCATGTTGACACAAGAGGTAATATATATATATAAAAGGCGGCTCAAAGCCGTAATGTAAACATGAAAATAATAATAATCGTAATGTGTCGAGGCAAATGTTTGAAAGTATTTATGGCCAAAGTTTAATGGGTCGCCAAGTCGACTCGAGAGAAATTGTAAATGGTAAATTTTATAATAGCCTATTTCTGAGCGGAGAGCTGAGAGTGTAGAGTGGGTGGTTGCTGCCCTATAAAATAACTGGCTACCGAAACTGTTTATCTTAATTACCAAATTAACATTTTCAACGCGACTCATAACTAACAACTTTTGAAAGTAGAAAAGTTTGGGCGCGATCCTGTGCAGATGAAGGGTTGCCTGGGAGAATAACTGCTTTGCTGGGTTTGGCGAACTGATTGTTTTCTCTTTTTTTTCTTTTTTTTTATTATTTGGCAGTGGGCAGGCAGCAAACGTTGGGAGGCCAATGGAAAAATGGCATCCAAACTTTTGCGTATTGCCCACTCTTTGGATTGGGGTTGGTGATGGTGGTGGTGGTGGTAATGGTGTGGTGTGGTGATGGGAAGGTGGTGGTTTCTTTTTTTTTATGCGAAAATTTTGTGTAACTTTTGCTAATTTCTTTTTTTTTTTTGCATTATTTTTGAAAATGGCCATATGTTTACAAATTTTTCGAACGAGCCAACTTTTTAACTTTAGCATTTTCATTTTGTTCATTTTCTTTTCGAGAAACACTTAAACACAGTACTATCTCACCTTTACCCTCAATAGGCAGATGGTTGCACTTCATGATGGCGAGCACGGCCTGCGAAATGTTGGGGAACTCGATCAGGCCCGATGACGAGCGCTCCGTCTTCAAGGGGAACAGACGCACAGATGTGGCCGGCACCTCCTTAATGTTGAATATGCCAATGAGCTGGTCCTCGGTGAGACCGGGCGGTGTGTTAAAGAAGTGCAAGATCTTAAACGGAAAGATATATATATATATATAGTACAGCTTATTATTGATTATTGATGATTGCACTTACTTTGCTCGGTGGTTGAATGCGATTCTTACTGGCCTGTGCCGGTGATAGGAAACGATTGTTTTTGGAGCCAGTGTACTCCTTGAAGCTGGGTGTATGATCCGGCAGCAAGAATGGATTAATCACCTCCGATAGGAAGTTCTGCTTTGAGAATGCAATCTGTATCTTGCCGCCAGTGCCAACGGGAATGTTATTCAAGTGTTGCACGCAACGTTCAACGGCAACCGAATCGCCCATTTGTACCATGGCGGTGCCCTCCTTTGTCTTCAAGAACTTGATCTGCAAATCGAGAGGAAAACAAATTGTGATTAATTGTTATTAATAGTGTAAGTCTATTCAGAAGATAATAATCTCACTTAATTAGGGCTTTAAATATTTTACTAAATTGCTCAGTAAAAATGTTACATCTTTTTCCCTTATTTATTCATTTTATTCGTAGCTCTTAATTTGAAATAGTTGTTCTACTGACAACCTTGCATCAACTCCTCGGGGCATGTTTCAAACAGTTTCAAACTTAAAGGGGCAAAACTTGTTTAACATGCAGCTTGCCACTTGTCAGTTGCATCTGTCACCGCAATTTGTGTCGCAAATGTAAATAAATGCAATTATCTAGCTGGCGCTCTACGTTTACGTTTAGGTTTGCTTATATTCAGTTCTGTATACGTTATAGGACTACCAACCCGCCCCCGCCCCCGCCCCCACCCACCATTCATCAACACTCTGTGTGCTTATATTCAGAACTCAACACCCACTTGAACACCCCCCATTCACATACTCGAAAGACACTCGGCGACTGTTTCCCGTCGAGTGTTGACCTACCGGTTGCCATTTGATTGAATTTTCTTGCAGTGTCATTCGTCCTCTTGGCCCATATCCCATATAAACCGACTCGACCCTGGTGCTTGCTGCTGCTGCCTGCTGCTGATCCCTAGCATGTGTCTCTGACCTGCGGCAAACTCAGCCATTTCTGTTCAATTGAATTTACAATTTACTTTAAAATTAAATTATCAAATTGAATGACGCCCTTAATTTGCTGTCCATTGTGCGGATCTCCTCTCCTCTATAAATTTGAGTCTCTATTGTTGAATTTATTATATTTTGACATAACTTGGTTGTAGTACGTGTCAAATGATGAAAAAATACCCTTTGACGTGTGGGAGAAGTAAATTCATATCCCTTTCATATAAAATCAATAACTATAAAAACCTATAAATATTTAACGAAATAAAAGAATATAATCATAAGCTATCTACGGGATATCTTTTAGCCCCGTGCTTAACTAGAACACTTTCAGCTTATTTAATAATATGGTTTGACAGTCAAGAGACTTAAAATGTGGCACACGAGAGCAGAGTTAAAATGTTTGACACTTTGGGGCGTGGTCCCGTCAATTAAATGGGCTTAGTTGCAAAATTGGAGAGCATTCAAGTGCGGCTGTGGCTGTGTAAAAGTTTATTTATGGTTAGAGATTTAAGTGCACTTTTCATAAATCTAACTATGTATCAGCCACCGGCCCTCAACTATTTGTGGCGCCACTAACAATTTCAGTTAATTAAGTAGCTAAGTTTTTATTTTTGTTTTTTTTTTTTTGCACCTATTGCAGCACAGCTGAAAAGATTCATAAAGTTAATTAACCATAATAGCCAATTCGAGTGCAATAATTACAGCGGTGAAAGTGAAAAGTCTACGGAAAATGTAAGCTGCTTGGTTGGTTGGCTGGTTGGCTGGTTGGTTGGTCGGTTAGTTAACTTAGCCCGTTAGTTAGAGCTTGGCAATTGAATTTGCGCTGGTTACTGCTGCTGCTGCTGCTGCGAGGCATTGAACTCAATAAGTGAAAACGTGTTTTTGCACCTGCACCAAAATTGGCAAAACGCCGACCGCAATTTGTGGCTCAGCATTTAAGTCGAGTTTGCTCTGGCTTCAAAAAACTACACGCAAGAAAAATGCGCTCACACGAATGTCATTTTCGTGTGTTGTTAATTTGCTAGGTTAGTTTTTAGTTGTATTTTTGTTGTTGTTTTTCCTTTGATTTATTTGTTGCAGTTGAAAAATTACCCAACTTGGCTTGCAGTTTGGGTCAACGGCAACAGCTGGGCGGCATTATGGCCAAATAATTGCTTGCTGTCTTTGCTTGTTATGGTCTTGGGCCAGTTTTCTACTTGAAAGTGACAGGCAAATTGTTTGTTGGTTTTTGTTGCCAGAAGCGGCGGCAGCAGCAGCAATAGCAACAGCAACTGTTGTTGTTAACAACAAGAGCAATAACTATGGCAATCAAGTCAAGTGGCGCAATATATTTCTATCAAGACTATTTTTTATTAAACTCTGAAGCAGGCGAGAGAGGAAAGCGAATGAAAGCCAACTACTTCGTTAAGATATTCAATTTATAAATTTTGTTTGCAACGCAAACAATTTTGATTTGTTTCACCAAGTAGTATATTATATATCGATCATAAAATATTCGTTGTTTGGTTTGCAACTTAAGCTTTCTGGCCAAAAAACAAATTTACACATAATTAAGCAGTAAATAATTGAAATTAAACAAAGGCCCCGCAGAAAATACAAAAGGCAAACAGATTATAGTTCCACGATGGGTGAAAATATTTAAGCGAGATTTTCGCTATCAACCGAACAACAGACGCAGCTGTATCAGAAGCTTATATTGAACATATATATATATATATATATATATATATATATATTTGTATATTTACAAAGATATGGTAACGCATACGCTTGAATGAAACATGAATGCGAATTAATACCGAATAACGAATAACGAATAACATGACACAAGAGCAGTGAATGAAAACCAAATGAGGCTTATCAAAAAAAGAGAAGGTAAACCACACGAAAAAGAAGGCAAACACGCGAAACGCTCGGCTAGAAATCATATAAAAATAAAAGCCCAATATAAAATCGTATATATATATATATAAATAAATATAGACCATAAATCAGTGAGGCAGAAAGCGCGCAGATAGGCCTGCCAATTCCCACAAGCAGCTAGCCCCTCGCAGCTCGCAGCTAAAACAAAAGGCATTTATGATGAGAAAGAGATAGTGATAGAGAGAGAGAACGAGATAGAGAGAGAGAGAGACTGAAGCAAGGCATGCCCCATACGGATAATACGGGACACGCAAAACAGGCGCTAGGACTCATTCACAAATCAAAGAGCGCTTTCTTTCTCCCTACTTCTCCCCTTCATGCCTCACTGGCCACTGGTCATCTGTTATATGGCAGAGGTTGGGTAAGGGGCTGGGCAGGTTCCACTGCCAGCGACAAACATTTGGTGCGTGCCTAATGAGCTGTGCTGTTGCCCTTTACTCCAACTCGTGGCCACCAATTGTTAAAGACCACCAGCTGCCCTCCTCATCCCTCCCGCTGCTGCGCATCGTTTTTATTTTCAGCATGAGACTGGCAACAATTCCCCAATAGATACTTTCATGCGTATGTTGCTTTAATTAAAACAATGCGTAAATAAATTAACCTGATGTGCCATGGGATACTCTTCCTCAGTTTAGAAAGGATTCTTTTGACTCTATTCAGCTCACACAAAAACACATCGAATAACGATGAAAAATGTAGAATTTTTGTACATTTGCTGCATTTTGCACTGAATAGCTCATTATACCCTATGCTACCCCCTAAATGTGTGTGTCTTTGTTTTTGGTGCTCAATGTGGCGTGGCGTCTGCTGCCGTTTGATTTAATTGCTCACGCGCTGGGCGGCAACACGAGGTGGCATCCACATCGACAACAATGTGAACAATAGATGGCAGAATATTGGCTGCAATAGTTTGCCCAGGCTCAGGCTCAGGCCCAGGCCCAGCCCCATGACCAGATCCAGGCCGATTGCCAGTCCATCCCCGATTCCCAGAGGTCTTTTCCAACCAAACGAACCAAATGCTTTTTTAATGCGCATTTAATTGAGTGCGTGTGATTGCTGTTGTTGTTGTTATTGTTGTTGTTGCTGGTGTTTGCCAGTTGAGTATTGCTGCTGTTGTTGTTGTTGTTGCTGCTGCTGCTGCTGCCTTTAAGGATACATTAACAATTTGGCTGTCTGCAACTGCGTGGAGCTGTTTGGCCTCTTGCCTTGTTTTTGTCAAGCCATTTAACCTGAGAATCAATTTGGCCGATGACTTCATCGCGTGCACAGCTCCTAAAAAATAATTAAACCCGATTGCTTTCACTTTAGCCAGGCGCGACCTGGCTTCAGGCACAGCCCCGCAGCAACACACACACACAGACTGACTTTAAAGACATATTCTTAGGTGAATCAAATTGAAACTAGGCAGCATTAAATATGCAACTCACACAACTCGCACACATCTGGATACACAGCCCTGATGTATGCTTTAAAAATTACAAAACTCATACAGGCAAACGCATGCATACCAACACATACACACACACACACACACACACACAGACAGGAAGTTAGTCAGTCAGGTTGGTCGGGCGGAGAGTGGGGATGGGGGGTCGAGCAGCCCACTTTTCCTTCCTGTGTAGTAAGCAGCTACCTCATCTGTCGGTTGATTGTCCCTAATCCGATGGGATAATCAAATATCTTTTCCGTATTTTATTTTATTTTCTTATTTTTTTTTTTTAGCCTGAGAAAATTTAATGCCAAACTCTATGAGGCTTGACTTATGGGATGTGCGTGATTTTTGTATCCTATTCGTAGTCTGATGGCCTTTTTCTCCTTCAAAATAGATGGAAATTGACTGTTTAACTAACTTGTTTTATGCCACAGATAAGTTGTGCCAGAAGCGAGCTATTTGAGCTGAGATTTTGAAAAGCCTATAAGCGGAGTCTTGGCTTATGTCAAAGTTGGTTGAGCCACGTACACATCAACTACTAAGCGACTTAAGGAAATGGAATAGAAATTCTCATTTAAATACTATTGTATTTATTAAAGTTTTCATTTATTAATGGTTTTTGTTAATTTGTTGGAATGGCTTGAAGCTTTTCAGCAGGCTTAAAGCAAAGACGAAATATCATATCAATACTTAGGCTTGTTTTAAAGCTCTTTTTTGTTCTAAGTAATAACTTTATACGACAAATTTGTGTCACAATTGGCAGAGGGCATGGAGAGGAAAGCATTTGAGTTTCGGTATGCAGGACATGCCTCATTTTTATCGCTAATCTATGGCACATGCCTTTAAAATGGGCACGGCTTGCAAGAAGGAGAGGTTGCGCCCTCAGCGGGCCAACATTAACACCAACATACCCAACAAAAACAGCAACAGCCACAACAACAACAACGAAGGCAGCCTCAAGTTCAGGCAGCACTTTGATTGAGTGCCCATCAATTTCTCATTCGCAATTCAAACATGTCGGACCATAAACTGATGCACGCACACCCACAAGCGCCACAGAGCAGCATACACACCTCTCCACACACACATACACACATATATCTACACATATGTTAGTTTATAATGAGGTTGGCTGACATGCCAAAGAGCACAGTGGCAAAGCAAAAAAAAACAGAAAGAAAGAGAAAAGAGAGTGAGAATGAGAATGGCCCGCCCACTCAGTGAGATTGAGATTGGATTGGATTGTCAAGTTGGTGGTGGAGGAGTCGAGAGAAAGCGAAAGAGAAGAGAAGAGAAATGCATGTTTGTGGCTTAGAGAGGAGCACAGCCCAGTGAATAATGTTTGCGCATAATCATTTTTAATGGCTAATGAGTAGTTTCCGTCTCGGACAGGAAGTTTGTAATAAATCTCAGCTTGCCAACAACAAGCACACACAAGCCGACAAGCGGGAGAAAAATGTGAACTAAATTACTTTGCCTTGAATTTATACGTCGTCCTCCTGCTCGCTTGGCCAGCCGGCCAGCCAGCCAGTCAGCCAGCCGGCCAGCCAACTTGCCAACTATCCAACTATTTTCAGTTAACCACGCACATCCCAGTCCACAATTCCCCTGTGCCGCTATAAAATCCATCCCTTGACCATCGCCCTTTTGGTCTTGTGGCTGTCAGTTGTTCGTTTGCTTTTAGTTGCTGCTGCTCTGAAGTTTTTTCTCCATTCTCGCTTTTGTTTGCAGCGTAAATTGCATTTAATTGTGAATGGGCGTGAGGCCAGCACCCAAACTGAGTTCACTCTCTGTGTGTGTGTGTGGATGAGTGTGTGCTTGTGAAGACTGTTAAATTATTGTCTAATGGAGCGCACTTGTTGAAAAATTGGCGAATGCTGCGATTTATGAAGTGGAAACTATGTTTGGGATAAGAACCTTGCCCATATGGCTAAAGATAAAGCTAAGTACTGTTACATTACAAGGAGTTGCCATATGTTAACAAGATTAACGGCGTACTTTAAGCCAAAACAAACCAGCAATTTCAGCTGTTCATATTTATAACAAATTCTTGGCAAAGCAGATACATTTTCTGAAGTATCTATTTCTGTTTCTATTTCTTGTAATTTCGAAATAACTGTTGGAAAATCAAAACCAGCAAATGTGTAACCTTTTCACCTACGCTGCCCGCTCCTTCCCCCAAGGATATTAATTCAAAACGCTTAGCGATTTTTGTTGTTCAGCTCCCCAGTTATGCTTTTATGTTGTCTTTGCCACACACACACACACACACAGTCAAAAACCTCAAGGGGTATGCGCTTTGTTAGTGGCACTAAACTAAACTAAACAAAACAAAACCAAAAAAAAAAAAAGAAGTCAGAAAGAAAAACCAAACTGACTTCGCCGTTGTTGCTGCTCTGGCGCAATTATCAAAGGACACAAACAACGAGCAACTTAGTGGCAGTAAAGTGAAAGCGACTCCTGCTGTTGCCAAGGAACTCACTGTATTCTCATTCTCATTCTCATTCTCATTTTTAGCTTTAGCTTTGATGTCGCCCCGCCGACGCTCAGTTCATTTTCATTTTCATTTTATTTTCAGTTTTTCAGTTTTGCTTCTTTTTTTTGTATTTTTTATTGCCATTGTTAATGGCAGTTGAATGGCGGGGGCTGCAACCTGAGGAGGCGTGGCTCATAATAGTTTCACTAAATGCTCCCAAGAGTGCGGTTGCTGCCGCTTCCCATTTGAATTGTCATTTTGCAAAGGTTTTTCCTTTTTTTTTTTGGTTTTCGGGGAGCTTACTTAATGGCTAGCATATTTTGATTTACTTTATTTGCTGGCAGAATAAATGCTTGAGCATTTCTTTGGAATCAATTCTTTTCACATTTTGTGGCACTAGATGATGACGCTGCTGCACTGATTGCTGCCCCCAGGCGTCTGCCCTACCACTTCCCTACCCCTTCTCTATTCGATGTACCCTTTCATTTCGCACATGTCACTGGTAGTTATCTAAAACGCTTTATCTAAATGTGTTTTGGTTGTGGACTTAAACTGCCCCACATCTATTTTTGTGAGCCTAGGGGCTTTCAGCTTCAGTTCCAGCTTCCAGTTGTTGTCCTGGCCTTTACTTCCCAATTTTATTGCTTTTCGTTTTATTTGCACATTTACAAATGAAACAGACACACATACACACATATATACACACACCCACTTGAAATATCTTGTGGTTTTTGTGGCAACACCTTTTTTTTTTTATTTTTTTAAGAGTCTCGACACAAAAATTTCTGCTGACGACCAAAACGAGAGGCGATGAAAATGCGTCTTTATTTTCTTCTCGTGTCATCTGGGTAAGTGCAAGCTTAAGTGCTTCAAGCCGTTTTCCGCCCCGCCCCCCTATTTTTTAAGGTCAAACTGTGACGCAAAATATCTTACGTGAAGTGGCAATTGAAGAGATTTTTTAAGCAACAAGGCTAAGAAATGTATACTCAAACTTTAAATGCACAACCTATGAGTATGTTGAGCTGGCGAGAAATGTTTAAATAATGTGCGATAATTTACTAAAGAATATGGTCCTACTAGTTTACTGGTTATACGACGAGCTCTTTAGCGCCTACGCCATATAAAACATATAAGCTGAGGATCCGAGATTGCATCACATAAAGTTCCTGCTGTTTAACCTAAGTTTTCACAGCCTGATTTACCTAAGTTTGATAGCTCCTCTTGTGGGGGAAATGACAATCATTATTCAGGTTTTTATACTTTATTCTACCATCTACTCTTGCGCCGAGATTGTCGCACATAAGATGAATACTGCTTTATTTATTATATTAGTCCAGATACTATATAGTAATCTATGCAACCTATGAGAAATACGCAATGAACTATCTTCAAAATGTTTGCTCGTTTTCAATTAATTAACACATCGTGGACTTATCACAAAAAATCATTAACTGATGCCCAGCCTGCGATTACGCTCCGATATATGTTGTATTGTATTTAACAAATTAATTGTGCTTATAAGTAGTTGCTGGGATGATAGTATTTATCTGTTTGTATGTACTTACCCGTGCGACATTGCCATAGAGGCAGACCAAATTGAAGAGCTTATCTGTGTTGGAAGTGTCATGGTCCATGCCGTAGACCATCATGACAGCGCCCTGGAGGCATGGATGGCAGCGATAAAAATGTATATATAAAAGGACGAGAGAGAACGCAACAACAAATTAATTAAAATGCTGTCCAGCAAATGCAACAGAAGCTGCAGCAGCAGCTGCTGCCGTCGGGGATTTGAGGACGTTGGGTGTGTGTGGCTTTGATTCGCCTCTGGCAAGGATTGCAGATGGTAAATTGTGAATTAAAATTAAAATTAAAATTATGCTTATGAAAAAAAAAGAAGTGCAGTCAGCAGAAATGCAAGCCAGAGGCGATGGCGTTGGCAAGGAGGAGGATGAGGAGGAGGAGGAGCTCTGTTTTGGGGGTAATTCGATACTCACCTGAGCCTGTCCTTGTTGGGCGAAAGCGACGGGTGCATTACGTCCGGCAACGACGCCGGTGGGCTCCTTCATGAGGCCAGTTGGATGGATGGCGGCGCCCTTCCAGTTATCCGGCTGGGTGGGATGATATTCGGGTGCACCGAATGGCGGGAAGGCGGTGCCTGGTCCCAATAGTGGTGGCTCTTTAAATGGAACAAGATTGTGCGTTTGAGCTGGGGCAACAAGTTGTTGTTGTTGATGGTGTTGTTGTTGGTGGTGGTGGTGATGATGTTGTTGTTGTTGGTGGTGTTGTTGTTGTTGGTGGTGGTTGTTGTGGTGGTGGTGGTTGTTGCGATGTTGTTGTGTTTGTATTGTTGCAACTAAATTTTTCAACAATTCGTGTTATACACATTGCATGCAACAACAATTTAACAAGTATATATAAGAAAACAAAATAGAAAAAAACAACAAAACATAAAAATAATGATGACAAAGCTTTTAATTTCAACAAAACAAAAAAAGACTTAAATTAAATATGCTAAAAACAAAATTTAAAAATGTTTTCTATTTTATTTCATATCTGAGATTGTTGTTGCATGCAAAATGTTGTGTGTAGTTGTTGTTGTTTGTTTCTGTATATGTTTATGTTTTTGGCCGAAGCGAGTCTGTTGGCCAAAAGTTTCACGCAAAAAAGAACTCAAATTTCGGTTTAAAAGCGGCTTTGATAACAGTCAAAGTCAAAGCAGCAATAATCGAGCTTTTACCAATGGCACAGTTGGTTTGCCACTCCACCCAAGTGGTGTAAATTTGGTTTCTGCTTTTATTTTTTTCAGTTGCAGTTGCGGTTGGGCAAAGCGAGTTAATTGAATTTTTTGGGGGCCTACAAGAATACGAAAAAATATTTGTGCGGCGGTTTTGTTTATTGGCTAACTGGAAAGTGACGCAAAAAACCAAAACAGAGCACAGTAAATAAAAAGCGAAATCTATGAAATGCAATTAAGGAGTCAGAAAGAGAGAAACAGCAAAAAAGGAACCATGTACGAAGGAGAGGAGAGACACACACACTACAAGCACAACCATAATAAATGGATTTCTCTGGAGGGAGGGGGAGACAAGCAGCAACGATCCAGTTGAGCCTCATTTCCTACTACAAATGCAATGCTGGCTGGCTTGACACAATTTTAATCAATATATTTTTGTGGCAGTAAATTCACATTCACAGCCCCACTGTAACCACAATACTGTTGGCACAACAATAACAACCGAAAATTGTCAACATGTAGACGTGCCGGAAAAACCTCATCGACAGGGCCAATATAGCGGGAGCCAGCAGTCTAGCATAGATTTAACACTGTCCTCCCCTCCAAACCAAAACCCCGAGTTGAAAACCACAACATGGCCGTAAAGCCAAAGCCTGAAACAAAGTCTCGGTCTCGTTGCTGGAAACTGGAGCGTTATAATTAAAGCGAAAACCGTTACAAAGTGTCAAAATATCGCGGCGGGGGCCAGCAATATGAATACATATATTTTTATATATAGAGAGAGAGAGAGAGAGAAAAAGCAGGGATCGGAGGAAACGCTGTTTGCTGGGCTTCTACTTAATTAACTTTCAACACATGTGCTCCGTGGCGCTGCGCATAGCTCTCTTAAGTGGTTTGCCACCATTTAAGCTCAGAAACACTTTAAACTTAATCAAGGAACTTGGCAAAAAGGAGCCCAAACTTTATAAATATCACGTCAGCTACTCAAATTTGCATACCACTAACTTCATTCTTTTACGACACACCCCCAACCCCCATCTCCTCTCTTTGCTGTCTTTGCTTTTGTTTTGATTTGATTTAGTTGCCGGACCAACGCCAAAAATGCCAGTGGCAACAACTGTTTGTTTTTCTTTGTTGACTACATCAGCTACACCACACCACCAATTCGTCGCTGGTTCCAACAACTACTACCTGACAATATTTATATAAAAATCTACACAGCGCTGCGCTCGCCACTGATGCTATTTGTTTTTGCTTCAGCTTCTTTCTGCTTGTTGGTTTTTCACGCTGGCCATTTTGTTTTGGCCAAATTGGAAGCAAACTTAAATCGTTTACAATGCTGCGCACAATGCTTTCATCAAAGGTAGACACGTGGTAACTGATCACGTTTGATCTCCCTTTACAATTTGCAGATAATAGAAAAATACAAGCCTCTAGAACAATACTGCATATAAAATTGGGAACCATGTTCAAATTATTTAAAAACTTGATTTTACGTTGTTTTTGAAAAAAAAATGCCATCACAAGAAATCGGCAAACTTTGTTAAAACTGAATCGACTTTTATTCGCATAGAATCAATTTAATTAATCCGACAGGGTATTTAATCTATGACAAAAGAAATAACAGAAATCACGTTTTGTTTTTTCCTGTTATTGGCAATGGCCTGGGGCAATCTGAACCAACTCAGTTTACCAGAGATAACTGTTACAGAGAAATGTGCAGTTTTTATTTTTAGTTTTTTAGTCAACGCTTTTAATCCGTTTGCATTTTGCATGCGAATTGTTTGCATGCGTGGTTAAAGCGGTGCGTTCGACAGGAAACCATGAAAGGGATTCCAAGGCAAGCCACGTTTCAATTTAAAACTTGGCCTTAAGCAAATAAGTCGCATAGATAAAGGTGGCTGGGAAGGATGCAGTGCGGGGTGCTGTTGCTGTTTTTTGGTCTATATTGTTGCCCCAAATCAGATCGCACATGCTGAGTGGTAGTCAATAAATGCTCGACAGTTGGAACGTGCCGCAGCCGGAGGCAAGCGATTGAAGCGTTCGTTCGTGTATCAAGAGGTAAACATAGTCATTCATTTTAACTAGTGCCCCTTCTTCTCATCAGGATGAGAAGCTCTACGGCGCTTTAATTGAAATTCAGAGACGGGTCGCTGATTTGTAGCTCACCGCTCAATGGGGCGTATGCGTGACGCGAACTTGCAAGTTCCTTTTTCGGTCAAGAAAAAGGGAAAATTGGTCAAACAGCCGGCGGTCGTCGGAAGCGTGCCTAAAATGTATAAGCATCTCGAAGGTGCTGTGCTATATATGTATATATATATATATATGTATAAATACATATTGTGTGTACTGTGTGTATATATTTTGTTGCATGCAATTGCTGGAAAATGTTCACACGCAAGGCGACGACGATGTTGCTCAGGTGTAAATTTTTCGCGCGCACAAAATTATTTTAGATTATGAGCCAGTCAGCCAGTCAGCCAGGCAGCAAGGTGAAAGTTGGTTATGTGGCCGGAAGTTGTAGTTTAGCTTTTATGGAGCGCAAAGTGTGCGAGACGGCGACGGCGACGGCGACGGCGGCAGCAATTTGACTCCTTTTCGAAGCCCAATGGTTATTTGCATGCGAGTCGAGTTACTCATACGACACGTGGACCACAATTAACTACGGAAGTTGCCAATAACGTAAACTAATGCACCTTGGCATGTGTAAATAATTGCCAAAGCCTGCTGGGGCGGTCTAGTTGAAAAGTAAGTTTACAAACTAATTGAACAAATTGTTTAAACAAAATTCCCATACAATTTGCTCGGCATTCTGGTAACGAGAAGTTTGGCAATGGTGCGTGACTTGAGTTGCGCAAACAAATAGCTTAGTAAAATGCTAAGCATTTGGGGATTTAAATTTTTCTTTTTGTTTGCTTTGTTTGAAAACTAACCAAGAAGTTTGTCAACAGAAGGAGTGTGTCTGAGTTTGGCAACAGCGTGTGATGGAATTAAAATGAATAATTTGTATTATTCTAGTGCCCCAGTATACCACTATTGTTGGGAAAGTTTGGCAACATAGCACATCAAAAGTTGAGCAAGCTAATGTATACAAAATAACAAATATTTGATGACACTAAAATTTTGCGAAAAGTGGCAGTCGTCGGTTCATATTTGATGCGAAACAACTGAAAACAATGCGAGCAAGGCGCACTTTGAAGTGCGGCAACAGTGCAAGGCAGCTGCAGCAATATACAGCCATAAAATGAACGACTAAATAAACATAAAATCAACCAAGCACTAGGCAACCCTCCCCCTAGATACATACATCAACCTGCTGCCCGACCATCAATTTGCTAGAAAAGTGCAACCAGGCAACGACGTTTGGGTTGCAAGTGAAAAATGGGGGCACACAAAGATCCATTAAAACAGGCTGGGTAACAAAAAAAAAAAACAGAAAACAGAAAATAGAAAATAGAAAATGCAAGCCATTCCGCATATGCAACATTTATGTGGCGTTTATTGCAAAATGGTGGGTGTGGGCGGAGGGCGGGTGGCTGTAGCTTATGTATGCTACAAATTGTAGCATACTTTGTGGCATATTGGCGCACTTTGTCGAGCGGCAAATGGGAATCGCAAAATAACGATTGTCAGAGCGGGGGGAGCAGGTGGGGGGGGGGGGAAGGGAGGATTGTTTTGTGGGTTGGTGTGGTTGGATATCGGATAGTCAAACAAAGCACTGTGTGTGCAAACGTTGGCAACCTTAATTGCAATTTGCTTAAATGTATGCTACACAATTTTTCACCAAGCCACGCACACACACCACACACACACACACACAACCATTCCCTCCACATGTGTGACAACATTATATCAACTACCCCTGTGTTTGTTGTTTTTGCTGCTTAGGTGTGCATTTTACTTTCGCTGTTCAATGATTTTCAATTTGTCAGAGTCAACTTTGCCGCTGGCAACTGGCGCAACTGTACTAAGAGTCACAGCATCATCCCCCAACCCTACCCTTAAGCCAACTCACAGCTATCTCGCCCTTGCTTGTTTATCTGGCTAAAATGCATTGCTGCCACGCCTTCGAGGAGTCCGCCCGCCTTCTACTCAGTTGTGCGCTCACACACGCTCTTCTCTTCATGTCATGTGACATTAATTTTCCCACTCCGCCCCACCCACTCACAGTGGAACACACACAAACACACACACACACAGTTTGGCGCACGTCTTGCATAAACATTTCCATAAGCAGCTTGCAAATTGAATTTGTTTTCAAAGGCCAAAACTATTATGTGACAGGGCAAAAGAGTTTTCGGTCTGTGTGTGCGATGATAGCAGCGATGACTGTCGACTCTACAATCGACTTTATAAAAAATATATATTAAAAAAAAAACATATGTGTGCGGTGTGTGTGTGTGTGTTGGTTGTGTGATCGGGTTGATTATGTGACAATGAGC